GGGCCCCCGCCGCGCCCCACCAGCGCCGCCGCCCGTACCCAGCAGCCGCCCGCAGCCGCTGTCCCGGCGGGAGGCCACCTGCTCGGCGGCGGAAGGGAGATTTCGTTTCGATCCCGAGAATGAGGAGAAGGGCGGGCGGGACCATATTTTCCACCCGTCCGGGGCTGCGGCCGCGGTCTGATGGTGTGGCCCCGGGCGCCCGGCCTAGGGATGCGCAGAGCCCCGTCGGAGGGGCCCCCGTGACCCCGTGTCGTTGCCGGAGAATTAGGGGTCTTTGGCATCCTTTTCCTAGACGGCAGCAGCCTCCAACAACTCTGCCTGCAGGCCCCGCTCCGCGGCCGCTTCGGGTCCCCCAGAGCGGCAGGCAGTAGAGCGCCGGACCCTGGCTCCGGGGACAATCCCCGGCCTCCCTCCGGCAGCGGCGCCCGTCCCGGGCCGTGCCCGTGGCCCCCGCCCGCAGCACGGCCCGCCGAGCAGCACGGGGCCGGGCCCGAGCAGGTGGCGGGGCGCCGCGGGCAGGAGTGGGACCGGAGCTTCCATCGAAATACGGGGTCCCTGCTCCGTCCCCCGGTTGCTCCTTCGGGGCAAAGGCGGCGGCGTCCTGCCCTTAACACCGGCGGGCCGTGGCATCCCTGGGCAGCCGGGGGCCGCGGATGGGCACCAGCTCCTCCCGGGGTATGTTTTTGCTGGTAGCTCCATAAACCTCAATTTCTCCCTCCCCGCTCCGGTGTTTCTGCGGCGCAGTCCGGGATCCCCGGGCTGGGGCAGGCGGTAGCGATTCCCCGGCCGCGTAGTGGGGGCTCCAGCTTTCCCGTTTTCCTACGGTTCGGTTGAGCTCGCCGGGCTCTGCGTTTTAGCAGCGGGGCAACAACAGCCTCAGCAAACGACTACGGTGGAGAGAGGCGAGAGCTAGAGCCCGGTCCCGGCCCGGAGCCTTCCTTGGCTGGGGCGTATCGCCCCGAGCTGCCCGCACCGGATCGGGAGCGGCGCTGGGGCCGCGCTGGAGGGAGCGGCCGGCGTCGGGCCCCGTCCGCGGCGCGACCGCAACGAAATCTTCGGCCGGAGGCTGCGGAGGGAGCGGAGCCGGCGGCTCGGGCCCTACCCGGGAGGACTCTGGCGGGGAGCGAGCCCCGGCCCACAGCCGCTGCCTGTCTTTCCGCAGATTCCGAGGATGTCTCCTCCAGCGACCGAAAAATGTCCAAATCCTCCCTAAATCAGAGCAAGAAACGAAAGAAGAGGCGGCACAGGTAAGACTGCGGCGGCCACCCCGGCCCCTTCGCCCCAGTCCCCAGGGAACCGGCCACCGGCGAGCCCCGGCGGGGACGACCCGCTCCGGCCTGGAGCAAAATATTCTTCCCGGCACCGGTCGCCGGAGCGCCCCGGCGCTCATGCGGCTTCTCCAATGGGTCCTTCCCTTTATTCTTTCTCCCCGTCCAAAATAAATCGGATATGGGGACGTACCTATAGGGAGTGGGGAATTCGACCACTGATGTAATTTTATTTAATTTTTTGTGGCTGCGGATCTAGGTATCCCGAGTCGCAATCCTGAGCAGCCCATGAGCTGCGGTGGAATGCGGATCAGTGTTTGGAAGGGAAAATTATCAATTGTCAGAAAGAATAAAAGCCGTTTCCAGCTCCACATACAGCAATCTTAATACTTGCTGTCGGCAAGACAAAATTCCTATAAATAATTTAAATATTTTGTTACATAAAAATAAATATTTTGCCAATAGATTAAATAGTTGGGAATCAGAGACAGCCTGCAAAGAAGCTGAAGAAGGCTGGGAAACTGTTTAAGGAAACGAAGATCCACTTTGGGATTTGGTTTCCTATAAGCACGGTCAGGATAATAGACTTTACCTGACTTCTCCCACAGTTAAAATGGAGTTGGTTTGTTTGTGCTTTAAAAACAGAAACGAAAAATCCCGTGCTGGGCTCTGGCATTGCTGTGTCCAGAGCGCCAGGACAAAGGGAGGCCAAACACCATCCACCGAGGGTGATTTAGGAATAATTAAATCAATCCTGGCACGATGCAGGAAAGGTGGATTAAAAGACGCCCCAGTGAAAGCTTAGCAGGATGCCGGGTGGAAGGAGACCGACTATCCCAGGAGACATCCTGCTATGTGTGCAACAGGACGCTCGGTGAGAAGAGCTCGTTTTCAAACCCAGGCCCCCTCCCAGGCAAATGTTCCCAGTTTGGGTGCTCTGGAGTAAGTACGAGCTAATTTTCTTTACATCCCAGACAGGGCTGGATGATAATACAACTGGGACTGTTGTACAGGTCCTGATCTGGGTGAAAGATAGGAAATGAAATTCAGATTTGTTTTGTTTTCAGTTCTAGACAGAAACAGACCTGCAGCATTTGGCTGTAGTTGTATATTCTGTACTAAACAGTTAAGACCTCTAATTGTACCAAGGAAAGGCTGGAAGATGACTGGCCAGTAGCCTGCAAATAGCTGAAGGATAGAAGCACCAAAAGGGGCAGTGGATTGTCAATTGCAAAAGGGACTACCCGTGCATGAGCTAAAAAGGGAAAACTTCAGCTGAATGTCAGCAGAACCCTCCCACTGGTGAGCCTGGACAGGCTTCCGCGCTCCTGTCGGAGGAAGATGGAGGGGAATGCTTGAAATCTAAACTGGTTCAAAATTGGAATAATTTTTCCTGTGGTCCCAGAGAGAGAAAATATGTGATTCAGTGTGTCTCTGCTGTCTCTGGAGTTCACAGATTTGTCAGAGTTGAAGAAAAACTGTTTGAAAAGAGAATGGATTTAAGAGTGAATTTAAAGAAGGGTCTGATTGCAGGCAGGTCCCTTGCATTTGCATGCAGCTTTTGTTAGTAATATTATTGATCTGATGGAATCCTTTTCATTCTGTATACCAGAGGATATTTCTGATATTTTCCGTTTATGCTCTCTGGAACGGAAGGGCTGGATGTATTTTAGAAAAAGACTCTATTTCCTCTTTCCCTCTGGGAGATAAGTGTTTCTTAGATTGATGGTAAATTTATACATTTACTTTGCACAAGGGCTGAAATTTGTTGTTGGGTTGAGGGTTGTTTTATTTTGGTTCATTTTTTTGGTTGAGGTTTTTTGTTTGCTTTTGCTTTTTTGTTTTTGTTTTTGTTTGTTTGGGGTATTTTGTTTGTTGGTTGGTTGGGATTTCTTTTTTTTTTCGCCACTGCAGTATTGTTAGCTTTTATCAAAAATTGTGCTTTCTGTACTGGAGGAGTTGAAGGGTGGGAGTTTTAACCCTCAGGGAGTGGAAGTGGTCTGGGACTTCTCATCCATCTTCTACAGAAGGGTTTTCATCTGTCTCGGCTTTCCAGCTGCTGATTTTTCAATTTGGTTGTCCCAAACCGAAAACAGGCTGTGTGGAGGTGGGTTGGGCTGCTGCCTGCCCAGGGTGGTCCAGGAGGATTTCTAAAGGATAATGGGGTAATGCAGACTGGCAGGGAGCAGCTAGTGGGATATTGGAGCGGAAGCAGCCAGGGCAAAGGCAGACGAAAGGTGCGGGTCCTGACTCTCATGGGGAAGGTGAAAAGTGGTGGGTTAGGGTGGAGAAAACATTTGGAGAGTTCATCCAAAGACTGAGACTCAAGGTGAAGGATTATTTGATCACGGAGATTGAAAAGGCTAAGGACTAGCAGCTGGGAAGGGGCTCAGCACCTCTCCAGATGGGGTGCTGAGGAGAATCTGCTTCATCTGAGTGTGATGATCCTCACAAGAGGCAGCAGAGTCCAAGATCAGCTGCCATCACTGCGGGTGCATGCTACTGGGGAGGCACTGTCTCCAGAGGCAAGTCCCTGAAAGGGAAGGTGATTTGTAACTGTTAAAAATGCTGTCTTCTGGCATTTTCTGGTTCTCCTTTCACCCTGGCACTTGACCTTTTATGCACAGAAACACAGGAGGTGGGGAAAAGCTATGTATTAGCCGGTTATCCACGTTTCACTGTTTTCAGTGTCCATTTCTCTGACTCTTCATCATCTTTGCTGCTTCTTGTGTTTTGATCAAAGAGTTTTACTCCCCTCAGGACAATCTTCACATCCTATCAACTGGAGGAGCTGGAAAAGGCCTTCAATGAGGCCCACTATCCTGACGTATATGCTAGAGAGATGTTGGCCATGAAAACAGAATTGCCAGAAGACAGGATACAGGTAACCATATCTCTTGGACCCCCTTATTGTGCTGCTCTCAGCCATGTTCATCCCTCTGTGAAGAAAAAGTAGTGGCATGGGAAGGCTGACATTTTTCTGAATAAACTTCCCCAGGCTTTCCACTCTCCTGTTTTTGATGGGTAGGCAGACAGATCAGATATTCTTGGCAGATTTGTATTTGGTGTTTGTATGTCGACATGTGCTGTGTGTGGTGTGTTGTACCAGTGATTTGGGGGGTGTGCAGCACAGGGAATCCTAAATCGGAGAAGGACAACAGGCGTGCAAAAAACGATGACAGCATTTCAAGGTTTTGGTAAAAGCAAGAAGAAAGCCTCCCAGAGACCATGTCTGGGTGGGCATTACTGAAGGGAAAGAGCTCATCTCTGGTCCTTTGGCCACAGAAGGATGCACAGGGATGGCGTGAGCAGCTAGTACAGCTGTGGGTAGGATGCAGTGTGGGAATGATGGGTGAGTCCCAGTCAGATGTTTGTACCACGTCTGCATTTTGCCTGCATTTGCCTCCCCAAGTGACGTTTCCCTGAAAGTTTCTGGGGACAATATTTTTTTTTTTGGTTAATCTGTTAAATGTTTTTAAGTTAACAGCTTTTAACATTAAGGTTTTAACTGCATGTCAATCCTGTTGCTCTACTGTGGTGCAGTAGAACAAGGTGGTGTGGATATCTCTGCTGTGTGATGAATCCTCCAGCAGGAAGGAGCAGCTTGAGCTGCAGGGCTGGGCCAGGACCAGCCTTTGGCATTCATTTCAGCCAGAAAGCTGGAGAAGACTTAACAGCTGCTGTTTACAGTGTGGGAGGCACACTGGACAGAGTTAACATGATGTTCATAAGGGTGGGCTCCAGCAGATTCTGTTGCCTCACTTTACCCCATGGCTTGCTCTCACCAGGTTTCTACACAAGGCCCAGGATTGTAATGGCCAAGCCCTGAGCAGGTGGAGTTCTGGTCTGGCTGGAAGTTAACCTGTCCAGGCTCTCCACACAGTGGCTGTGGCTGGCCTCTGTGAGTGGTGTATAGCAGTTTCCATGAGAGATGCTGTCCTGTGTGCCAGGCAGTGCTGGGAGGGTTTCCCTGGTTCCTTCTCCTGATCATCCCTAATCCACCAAGCACCCACCAAGCTGCGTCTTGAGCTTCTGCTCTTTCTTTGCTGAAGAGATAGCCCAGGAGGCTGCTCCCTTGTGGGTTTGGAAAGTAGCTCAGAGGGCACTTAGCAGGGTAACACTGATGCTGGAAGCTGCTGAGGTATGACCCCGTGCAGGGACAGGAAGATCCTCCAAAACAAAAGTGTAGCCTTTTTTTCATCTGTCCTGAGCCCTCCTCATCACCATTATTCTTGTGCTCAATCAAAAGCGACATTTTTATAAAAGCAACTCATGCTTCTTATCCCATTGACCTGGCAGGACTCCTGCTGATCTAACAGCTTGTAGATAACCTCTGTGCTAACAGGATTTCCACCAGTCTTCAGAAATAATGGCCCGTCATCTGAAATCATATATGATGCATTAGGATTTTGCCCTGAGAAACAAGCCCTGATGCTTTGCCTTTAGAGAGAGTGAAATGGATGGACAGTCACTTCTCCACTTGTGATCCTGTAGGACATCAGGTCAAGAGAGGACAGACTGCTGGGGGTTTATTGTTGCCTACAGTCACCATTTGGTGCTGGGCTGGAAAGAAGATCCTTTGATTTCCCATAAAGGACCTTTTCAAGGAAAAGGTTCATCTAGTGGCACAGTGTATGTTGAATTCTCTGAATTCTCATTTCTCTGGCCAGAGCTGAAAGCATTCTCTTTGTGTGAGGTGGATAGCTGACACAGTTTGTATGGCTTCAGCACCTGAAGCACCCTTCTAGTGCTGAATGTTTTAGCTGATTTGGAAATGAAATAGCAGGTAAAGTATCTTAGCTGTCGCTGGCTTGTCTGCTCTGTCATTCTGCAGCTGGCTGATGAACAGCTGCCCGCTTTTCCTGTATTTCAGCTTTTAAACCTAGGAGGGCTCCTTACTGTGACCCCTCTGCCCTTGAGAGCAGATTAGACTTGGACAGCAGAAGCACCCCAATGTATGGCTGTTCTGAACATCAGGTGTAACTATAATGGCATGTGTATTCCAGAAAAAAGTGATTGTCAATAACAGTTTTGCTGATCATGAAAGGAGAAATAAGGAACAACAGAATTTCTGTAGCATCTGTTGAGCACCTCACCATGGTGAGCGTCAGGCTCACATAGGAGTCCTGAGCATCACTGTTCTTTCCAACAGGTCAGCAACTGATTGTCCCTTACCACACATTCTATGAAATTTCCCTGTCCCTATTTTTTGTGTGTGACAAGCCATGGCAAAGTGATTACCAACTTTTGATTTGGTAATCAATATTTGATCATATTTCTTGATATTTTACCTCATATTCCTTTTTCAACTTTGGACCTGTTTGTTATGAGCCTAATTCTTTCCCCCTGGTTATAAAGTTCGCACTCTTTAAATAAATCTAAGATATTTCTTCTCCTGGCTGTCACTTTCAGTTTTCATCATTGCTTAAGCAAGTTGCAAAGATCTTTCCTTAAATCATCCTTCATAAATCACATGCTCATCTCTTAATCATGTGGTTTTTCTTACATGAAGCCCATCCTGTCTGTCAGCCTTCCTGGAGATAAGGGACCACATGCCTACAGCTGCATGCTGGGTGTGCTCACACCAGTTCAGCTGGACTTGTGGTCCCTTGCAGAAAGAGCCTTGGATTAGCACTGCTCTGCTTGCTTCCTTATTTATTTCTATCTATCTAATTCTGTCACTCCAAACTTCTTTTAGCCAGATTTTATTTTATGCTCAGGATTTTCCCTTCAGCGTTCTGGGTTTCATATGGAATTTTGTTAACTTTGGCTAGCAAGCATAATTACAGCCCTACCAGCTCTGACAGTGGCAGGAGGTGGATGCTATCTAGGGACACTGAGTACTTTGTCAGTCTCCTGGAATTTTGAATACATATAAATATCTTAATATCCCGTGGCAAGAACTTCTGCATCAGAACGGCCTGAGTGCAGTAAATCTTGCTTTGAATCTCTTAGCATCATTTAATGCCCCTTGGAAGAGACAGCTTACAATGAATCTTTATTCCCATCTTCATAATATTTATAATTTCACATTGTTGCATTTTTTTTCCTTGCATGAGTTTCCAGCTGCCTGAGGGAGCTCTACAGTTTTGCATTTTCCCTGTAGCTTGCAGCTCCTCTCAGCTTTCAGCGATGTTCTTTCCCTCTTGTAGGTCATTAATGAAAGTGTTTTCTAATATTGTTGTGAGCATCACATGTTGTGGACTTCTACAGCATTTCATGTGGTTTCCCATTGGATCCTCACCTAGGACTGATATCTACCCCTTATTTTCATTCATGGATTTATTTCTCAGGAGGTATTAGTCAAAGAGAAAGTAAATCACCTATGAAATCTGATGTGAAAGTGAAATTCAAAGAGGGCAATTGAAAGAATGATATATAGGAACTGTTTGCAGGTAAAGCCTTCAATAGAACACTACAAATAGCCATCAGAGGCCAAGAAAGTTACTGGTTTAAGAGAACATTGAATCCAGGAAAAAAATATTCAAACCCTTCGTTTAAAGAGAAGTTGAAAGTGTATTTTTTTTCCAAGGCAGACACACACTGTGTGTGTCTTACTCTCACATTGAGCTGGCTGCTCCTGCAAGTAAAATGAGCATCTTCCCATTGAGCAGCATGGGAAAATAATTTTTTAAAAAGTGAGATACTATGCACAAGCCAGATCAGATGTCACTGTGGCTATTTTGCAAGATAATTGAAAAAGACCACATTAATCAATGTATTTAAAAGAATATTCATAGGAGTTGAAGTGCCAGTACTGGAATAAACCCAGACTGTTCTGTAAAATCTGAGAGAGGTAAGTAGATTCCTGTGGGGAAGTATATCCTTAATAAACATTATGAAGTATTAAAAATGTCCTGAGGCTGACAATAACTGCAAATTACTTAAATCACTGTTTCTCATAACAAATCTCTTAACTGTAATGTGTAGATTTTAGATAAATTATCCCTATTGAATTTATTAATACATAACAGTTCCAAACTTTAAACTGAGTAGTTACAATATTGAAATTCAGTAACAGTTTGATTTGGGGATTATTGAAATGATTGTGTATGTTTGTTCTTAAAGTATGTCTCCTGCTGATCAAACAAATTGATTAATCAGTATTTCAAAAAAAATAAGATCCTGACTGCTATTGTAGGGACATTAGAGTCAGTCACCTTTTAAGGGAAGTAATCAATTAAAAAAGGTAATAAAACTCCTAAAAATTGTCAGTTCTTGTTGTTAAAAGATTGTATGGTAATTATTGGATGACAAATTTTGGGACAAATAAAGTTGCTCACATAAGCAAAAGGAATGCCAAGAAGAGGCCAGTGCTGTGTGTGGAGTGGGGATTGTCTGTGCATCCAGCAAGCTTTGTCAGGCAGCTAAGAGGCCAATTTTTGCTAAAAACAAAACAAGGTCAACTAAATCTCTAATTGAAAAAGTATTGGTTTAGCTATCAGATTAACACATTTCAGTATCACTGTGAAGCCCTTTCAGGAGTTGAACAGCGATGGAGGAATCAGGAGGAGTAATCATTTAGAGGAAAGCAAGTACCAAGAGTATTTTGCAAGGACAGAGCCTTCAGCTTTGCAAAAAAGGTTCTCTGTTTAGAGATGAGCATAATTTGACAAGGCCTGAGGAACCTGCACTGAGTGTGAACTCAGGAGTGAACCCACAGAGTCCCCTCAAGAAACATGATAGAAAGCATGAAGGAAAAATTAGTTTTATATAGCTTTAGCAGCCCTGGCTTCTCCCTTTCCTGACCGCTTTTCCTCCTTGCTGCAGAGTTCTGAGGTGTAGTCTGAGTCCCATGGTGTAAGTATGGAATGCTGTGATTGCTCCATGCAGTTGGTGACCTTTCCTGAACGTGTGCCTGGAATGGCTGCCAAAGCATTACTT